GCATCCGTATAGACACCGTAACAACTCAATAACGGAAAATGTTACGCAAGTGACAGTTACATGGGCTTGATAATACAGTTGATTGTCAAAGGACGCACGACAAAGGGCGACTCTATTCTTGACATAACAGTTACTTTCTGTCTTACCAACTATAAGAGTGGTGTGCGACCAATATTCCACCTTCAAACATAATAATTATCTTCAAGTTATAGAATTACACAATCTCAACGAAATGATCAAGACTGTTTTATTTATATGTGAAGCGCGATGCTCTCCATGCTTTTCTAACGCATATGCACGCGGCCATCTTGTCGTTCCTATACACACAGCACGCATCTCGCTCTTTTCCAACTTCAAACCTCAAAATAGATCAAATTAATATATCGTGGCAGATAAAAACTTTTTATATATATTGTATATCTAAACAAAAAACGATTTTATTTTATTTTTTAAAAAGCATTATATAACATTGTGTTTGCATAGATATTCTTGACAACGTCACAAACCCTGCTTCCAATTTCAAAAACAGACCAAAAACGCCCCGAAAACCGCTATGGGTTCAACGGGTGCTTTATTTCAGTATCTGTGTGTCAATGGTGCCCTCTGTCGACAGATGCGTTTCTCGGTTCTACTCAGCACTGTTTTATTAAACCTCTCCCTCCCTCGACGTCAGCTTTTGGGAACTCGGGCAAGGGAAAGTTTAGGGAGAACAAAAGTCCGCTGTTGTCTATGTATGGATGAATGCTGAAAGCCTGGCGTACAGGAGAGAAAAGTAGCGCAGTGCGGACCGAAATGGCGAACGCGTGGCATCCGCACTGAAAACATCGCCACAGACCATAGACGCGTTAAAAGGGCTGTGAGCAAACTTTTCCACTTTTGTTTTTATGGAATTGTTTACCTCTAATCTGGACGAACAGATGCAACAAAGCGAAACTTGAGTTCACCGCTGACAGTTTTCCAAGGAAAGAAAATCCATGAAGTTTCAAACGAGAAGGACATTAATCAGACGGAAGGATTTTAAGAAGGTTGCGCGTTACTGAGTGTTAGGAACAAGTAGGGGGGAAAGTCATCTAAAACTTGCTAAAAGAGCTGGGTGAAACGAACAATGGCAAAGAAATACGACTTCCTCTTTAAATTATTGCTTATTGGCGATAGTGGTGTTGGCAAGACCTGTTTGATCATCCGTTTTGCAGAGGACAATTTTAATTCAACGTACATATCAACCATCGGTAAGTGAACATGTTTAAATACTGTTTGATATGGTAAGACGTTTCGCTCTTCTGCCTAGTTTCTAGCTTGTAAAACAAGTGCTCCCCAAGTGTTTGTTCATGTCAGTACTAGTCTAAACGGCATGTCATTCCAGCCTGGCCCAGTATAACTCAATCAGTCCTGCGGATCATCCCGTGCTCTGTGTGTATCCTCCTCCCTGATTGCATTTCCGGCCCTCTCGCGCTACTTTACTTCTGCCAGCCACAGCCTGCCCCCTCTCTGTATCTCATTTTGCAATGTCTTCCCCCAGCTACACCCCCCTTCATTTCTGCATCAGATGGAGGCCATCCTCCATGGCATTTAGTGCATTCACCCAGATCTTCAAAAGACCCCTTCCCTCCCTCTCCCTTTTCCCATCCAATTCACTGAAAAACCAAGCAGGTTGTTTATTAAACCATCAGAGCAGTGATTGTATCTCATTATGTCTGCTCTTGTATTTCTGAATGCAGCAGACATTCATTAGTCCACTTTTATTATGCCTCTTGGGGTTAAAACATGTTCACCCTTCCTTCCTGCCCCTCCTGGTTTATCTGTTTCCCTTTTTTCTTTTTCCTAGGTATTGACTTCAAAGTGAAGACCATTGAGTTTGAGGGAAAGAAAGTCAAACTGCAAGTCTGGTAAAAAAATAAAATAAAAATAAATATATATATATATATTCTGTTTTCATTTTAATTTTGATGTGTGTTTTTGTAATTTTTTTAAATTAATTTTAATTTCTGTGGTAGTTTTAGTGATTTAAGTACTAAAGCTAAACTAAATTAAAATGAGAAATGTTACAGAAATATTCTGGCAACTTGTTTTTTAATATTTTATTTCAGTTACAATTTATTTTAAGTAATGATTTTTTGATAATTTTAGTTTCAGTTGACTATACATTTACCCTGAAATATATTTGTAATTTTTTTATGTTTTTTAATGTTTGTTAAATCAGAGATTTAGTAGGTTTAATAAAGCATAATAAGATATGCTTTATTAAAGTCTATTCAGTCAAAATTCTTTACATATGTACAGAGTGTCTGTGTAAATACAGTGGCAGTGTTGTGTACACAAAAAACGTCTTCACTGTCGTTTTCTGTTTGACAGCTCACTGTTAAAACGGTAAGCTCTGTGTAAATGTGCCAAAGGTGGAGTCCGGTTGACTTTAGTTAAGGCTTCCCACAAACCTTCTGACAATTCAATAAAGTCATTTATGTTTGGCCACGATGACAGCCTGAAGTGCAAAGTCCAGCTGCTATAAAAGAAGTATATTAAACATGCCATTTTTTTTACTGACAAGCTTTCTGAGTGCTAAAATGTCTTATGCATGCAACTGGTTTTATTTGCTAGGGACACAGCAGGACAGGAGAGGTTTAAGACCATCACTACTGCATACTACAGAGGGGCGATGGTGAGACGAGAATCATGTTTAATGCAGACTATCCTTTTTGGTCCTATAGCCATTTGTGAACTTACTTATGTGGTTATTGTGAAACCCAGATTATTTCAACAGTTATTGAAGCATGACAAATCATACACATGATTTGTCATGATGGTAATGGTGCATTATTTTGATCCGTCTTTCAGGGCATTATCCTTGTGTATGACATCACTGATGAAAAATCCTTTGAGAATATTCAGAACTGGATGAAGAGCATCAAAGAAGTAAGAGCGAAAAAGGAAAATAAAATAATTTAACAGATAATTTGTTAGTCATTATAGTGTTTTTTTTTTTAAGAAAATGTACTGCAGTAGATGATTAAATTAATTAGTGCTTGCGTCCCTGTAAGTAAAGGTGGACATATGACCCTTGACTACAATCAGATATTTTCTTGCAAACTCCAAAAAAGCATAAAATGAAACGAGCTTTATAAAATGTGAGTTTCAGTTCTTGATAAGATGTCATAGGAAGTAGGTCCTGCACAGGTTACCAGAAAAGAGATGCAGTGTAAATACAAATGGGGCCTTTTGTTATCAGTCTCGGTTATGAAGAAAATGAGGAAGTGAGTGCATTCTTATGTTCTGTTTCCCAGAATGCATCAGTAGGTGTAAGTCGGATGTTAATGGGTAACAAGTGTGATATTGAGGCCAAAAGGAAAGTGTCAAAGGAGATAGGTGAGAAGGTAAGCGCTGTCATACATACTACCAATATGCGGGTCCAGGTGCATACAAGGTGTTTTATTGGTGCTAGGAATAGCTTTTCAGTCAGTTTATTTACAGCATGTTATTTACAGCATCACTACATACCACATGTCAATTTTTTTTCATTTTTGTACTACATAGATGTTTTTTTTTCAGCTTAAAACAAACTTAAGTTATTTTATTTAAAAAAAGTGATTCTCTTTTTTCATTTATTATAGCTTGCAAAGGAACATGGTATTCGATTCTTCGAGACTAGTGCAAAATCGAGCATCAACGTTGAGGAGGTATGGACAAAGAAATGCCTTTTTCTAGTTTTGGTCTAGTATCGTTAGTTTATAGTCACAGTTGATCTTTATCTGTCATACAGTTATCTGTATTTGTCTTATATTCTTAGTAATGATTGTTTTGATATTGAGAAGTTTTATGAGTTTCAGTTTCAGAAATGTCTGACTGTTAATAATAAAAACATAAACTGTAAAGTAAATCTGTGCATTTCACTGTTAAATTTGATGTAGTTGGTCTACTTTTAATTGAACTTTCTTTCCATAGTCTTTTGCTGCTCTTGCACGAGACATTTTGCTGAAGTCAAATAAGAAGCCAGTGAGTTTTCAGTGTGTGATACATAAAATGGATATTGATGCTTATTGTCTGCATGTTTAATAGTGAAACACACAATCACTCTTGAGTTTTTAAGAACTCAAGTGATTCAACTGTTCTTACTTGTAGTTTTATGATATCTCGACTGGTATCACATGACTTAAAAAAAAAAAAATTATATCAGACAGATCTAAAGATTAAGTTGACAAGAACAGTAACAAATCTACCAGGCTGTAGGGCAGGCATTATATAACATTTCTTATATTTACTGTTTTTACAGGGTCCCACTGGTCGTGAGGTTAAACTTACCAGCACAGAGAAAAAGTCTTCCAAATGTCTTCTTCTTTAGATATGCTTTTATACAGAGGACGGTCTCACTACACACAAACACATACACACAATCACATACAGTAACATTGCAGTGTTAATGCCAGATAATAATTTGCAAAGTGAATATGGAATGCTAATAGGAAGTGGTTTCAAAGTATGATGGCACTAGTAAGATAAGAAATACATGATACGAGATATGAAACAGGGTACAGCTTTCAAGTAGTTAGAGGAAAATCACTTTTTTTTTTTTTTTACTTCGTTTATATTTTCGCACTACACAACAAAAACAGTGACTTGGCTACAATCGAGACAATGTTGGTTTGACTTGCTCAAGTTTTGCTCAGTCAAAATGGATAACAAGTACCTTACAGCTTTCAAGTAGTTAGAGGAAAATCTTTTTTTTTTTTTTTTTACTTCGTTTATATTTTCGCACTACACAACAAAAACAGTGACTTGGCTACAATCGAGACAATGTTGGTTTGACTTGCACAAGTTTTGCTCAGTCAAAATGGATAACAAGTACCTATTGAATCTATCTTTGGCAACTTCAAGTGAAATATATAGTCCAGTTTGATGGCCAATCGGAACTTTTTGACAAATGGTTTTAATGTTTGTTGCTATAAAAGGTGAACAACTTCAATTTGAAAGACTTTGACCTCTAAAGGATGGATGAGAAATTTTAGGATGTTAAATGAGAAAATAATTGATTGATTGGATTGTATTATGGTTGGGATTATAATAATGTTCTACTGAAAATTCACAGTGTGTTTCTCCAAAAGGGACTATGGTCTGACATAATACAAATATCTGGTTTTGCATAAATTTTGCATCAAGTTTCTGTCTTCCTGCCTTAATCCACATTTCTGTGTTATTTTCCACAGCATATTTCTCAGAATCTGTACAATGATATTCTTTTAATAAAGTAAATAATGTTCATTTTCTCCAAAAGGGACTATGGTCTGACATAATACAAATATCTGGTTTTGCATCAAGTTTCTGTCTTCCTGCCTTAATCCACATTTCTGTGTTATTTTCCACAGCATATTTCTCAGAATCTGTACAATGATATTCTTTTAATAAAGTAAATAATGTTCAAAATCTCATACATTTATAGTGTTTTTTTCCCATTTGTGATAATGACACTATACTAAATATTTCTCACCTCCTTTAGTTAAGGACATATAGTAAATGTAACAATGTATTGTTTCAAGGAACAATTGAAAACTCATCTCATCCGTGAGCATCTAACTAAATCCTCAAAAAATTAAAATAATAAAGAAAATAAAGAAAAACTCTGCTTTTCCTTTTTCCTTTTCTCTCACTATCATTTGTCCTTTTCCTGTCCTAACCTTTACTATTTTGAACGATGACGGAAACCACGTGTAACAGGCATTTCTCGTGTTTAAAAGCGTTTGGATAAAAGCATCTGCCAAATGAATGTAAAATGATAAAAATCCCAAGTACGAAGAAGCTGTTTATTCTGCGCATGCGCGGAAAGGTCGCCAACCGTTGTGAATGTCGGGGAAGGTTGCCATGCAACCGCCCACCCAGTGCAGCATCAGCACCTCGCTCTGGGTGAATGCGGTGCCGCATTGAACAAATATTACGGACACGTGCTACCATAATGCGCTGCATATAGTCCCGCTGAAATTGCCTCGGACAACGTTTACATGGCGCAAAGACTATATGTGTGAATAACACACGTACGCAAAGACTCTTCAAGACTGGCGCGATTACGTAGTGATGCTCATGTCCGGGATACGGACGGGACGGGAGTCCTCGTGACTGCGGGAGGAAAAGGGGGAGACTACCTAGGATAAAACTCTCAAAGGGAACACCGTGGCTTTATAATTATTATTCAAAACAAACGGATGCATCAGGGGAGCAACATAGCGAGCTCTTCACAACAAACGGCCTCCGCGCGCCTGCTTTCATTTCCTTTTCTTTTCTCTCCGGACACCGTTGTGCTTCATGAGACGTGTTTTCCGAGTTCAGGTGGGGGCTGCGAGGCTCTCTAGTGGAAACCCGGTGAAGATACACTTCCATGTGAGCAGGACTCGTATTGTGTTATTCTCCTCCGCGGAGTAGCTAGAAGGCCAAAGCTGCTCTGCTCGGCCTGCTGAAGGCTCTGGGTACCGCAATGCCGCGGGGATGGGGAGAGAGAGACGGCAGGTGGGCGATGGAGCAAGCCAGATCAAGGGATATCGGAGAATGCAGATGTACGACGCCAAGAATAAATGTTGACTCAACATAAGTTGAGTTTTAACAGCTGTGGATGTTATAGAGACCCTAACTGCATATTTAAATAAGTATCTTCTTCACATATTAAACCGAGTCACATATAGTCCCATAATTTAGGAAGTATTTCAGTAGCCATCATGCCCTCACCGTCGGACTCCAGCAGCGTGGCCTCGATGTCAGGGTCTCGGGCTTTGTCCGGTAGTCGCAGAGGGATGTCTGGGCGGACCAGTGCGCGCGTCCTGCTGTACCTGGGCTTGTGTCACCTTGCGCTGGGGGCCATGGTGCTGGCCTTCAGCTTCACAAGCCTCGCCTTCACCTCATCACCCCGTGTCAGACAGTCCTGTCCTTTCTGGGCTGGCTTCTTCGTAAGTTTCTGTGATAGTTTATTTGAATATATAAATATTGGCATGATGTGTCCTGCAGTGGAACATGCGATATTTAATCGCTGCTGTCAATCCCACAGGGTCATTTAAATATATTGCAATAAATATATACTAAGTAAATTTAAAACAAAAAAGTTATATAAATGGGGGGATAAGGGATTGTTCACAGAAGAATCTTGTATTAAAAAACCCGTATAAATAATATCTTTCTTCCGTGGAACGCAAAAGAAGATATTTTGAAGAAAGTTGCAAACCAAACAGTTTTCATTATATGGGGAAGAAAGAAAAATAAATAAATAATAAATAAAACATAATTTCTTGAAATTATTGACATGAGTGTGAGGAAATGATGACAAAAATTTATTTATTTATTTTTGGAAGAGGGGGGATTCTAAAAAAAATCTGGCATTTTCTATTATTTTCTGTATTTTTTTTTTAATATAATGTTCTTAAAGTAATATATTTATTATAATATATCTATAATATATATAACCAAGCTCCAAAAGGACTAAAAAGCACCATGAAAGCAATATAAAAGTAGTCAATACATCTTTTGCTCTGAAGCCATCTTATGTAGATTTGTGTGAAGAAAAGAAAATCTCTCCCTTAAATGTTTTTCTTTTTTTGTTAAACAGGTTGTGGCGTCCGGAGTAGTTGGTGTGATATCATGGAGGAGGCCCTTCACTCTTGTCGTGCGTATCTTTATCATCTTGACAGGACTTGTCTGTGTGTGTGTGCGTTTGTCCGCTCCTCTTAGTTTTTGCAGTGATGCTGTTTTTGTTTCGTCCAGGTGTCGCTGTTCATGCTGCTGTCTGCAGTGTGTGTGATTCTCAGTCTGGCTGGTTCCATGCTCTCATGTCAGAATGCACAGATGGTCAAATCTTATGTTACCTGTCAGGTACATTCTCTTCTCTTCTCTTCTCTTCTCTTCTCTTCTCTTCTCTTCTCTTCTCTTCTCTTCTCTTCTCTTCTCTTCTCTTCTCTTCTCTTCTCTTCTCTTGTTGCAGATGGAGAATCGTCTGTGTCTTTGCTGTGACCCCAAGCAGACATGCTCTCTAACAGAAGATGAGACACTAGTGCTCTACCAACATACAGACTGCCACTCTGTGCGTCACCAGCTCAAGGTGGGGTCCCTTAACTCTTATAGGGTGTTTGGGATGGTCCCAGCCCCCCAAAACAAACACTCAGGTGTCTGAATAAATTTGAGTTTAACCATGATATTATATGTGTGTGCAGGATCTGCTGTTCAGTGCCTGCGGTCTTAGTATTCTCTCTACTATTATCTGCACTCTGTCTACGGTCACCTGTAGCATTCATATCTTCTCTCTGGACCTACTGCATCTAGTGAGACAAAATGCACAAAACCTTTGCACTAAAACACTTTGTTTTAATCGCTGTATTTTTCTCTCAAATGCTACAGTGCGTAGATAGACTCATGACCCTTTATCTCATCCCACTCTGTTTGTTGTAGCTGGCTCCTCATCGCTCTCGCTCTGTAAACCCAGAATGCACCACTCCTCAGGATGCATTTCTCAGTAACATGATGGACTTTGAGGAGTTTGTTCCACCCATTCCACCACCACCTTACTACCCTCCTGAATACACCTGCAGCTCAGAGACCGATGCCCAGAGGTGAAAATACACACACAAACACACACTTTTTTGCTTTTGTTTTTCCATCATTTTGTGCACTTTCCATTGACTTTTCTTGTTTCATATTGCGCTAATAAAATCTCCTAACTCTACCTCTAATACGAAACCTTTAAGAAAATGTTTTTTTAAAAATTGAAATAGTATTTGGTATGTTTAGTAAGGTCGCTTACATACTTGAGATGCTCTGACAGAATATTGTTCAGTTAAAGTGTTCTCAGTGTAGATGTTCTTGAAATATTTGTGTTCTGTCTTTTTTCTCAATAAATTTTTTTGTTCTTATAGGCATCTGTCCATTTTAACTACACTTCTTCTGTCATGCCTTTTCTTTTAATAATGACTTTTTCTCATGCCTCATTTTTCTGTGTGTACCTGCAGTGTCACATATAATGGATCAATGGGGAGTCCAGTGCCTCTGTACCCAACGGACTGCCCTCCTCCTTATGAGGCAGTGATAGGTCAAAGGGCTCCCAGTCAGGTACATGAGAGCATTGAGGGGTGTAAAGATGACTTGTTTAAACGGAAAATAAAATTAAATGCAATGTTTATAGAAATTAATGATGTTTTATGATTACTATTATATGGAGATTATATATATTACATGACATGCAAGAAAAAATTTATAAATCGTGCCCACGATTTACTAATTAGTTCCCTCGATGTACTAAAACGTGCACACGATTACCATTTCGTTTCCTCGATTTGCTAAATCGTGCGCACAATTAATAAATCGAGGGAACGAAATAGTAAATCGTGCACATGATTTAGCCTACTAATTTTTTCTTGCATGTCATGTGCGGGGCTCCGTACTGTTATTATTTAAAAAAACAATAATATAATTATATATTTTTTATTTATATTATTATTACAGCCAATGTCTAATGTGTTTTCTTAACTTATTCAAACCAAGAGTTTTTAAATGTTTTTTTTAATGCTGCATTAATTGGATTAAAAAAAGTTAAAATAGTAATATTGTGAAATATTATTACAATTTAAAATGTCTTATTTTCTGTTAATATATTTTAAAATGTAATTTATTCCTGTCTTGCCAAAGTTGAATTTTCCAGTCTTCAGTGTCACATGATCCTTTAGATTCTCTTCTCTTCTCTTCTCTTCCTTATGTTTCCTGTCAGGTACATTCTCTTCTCTTCTCTTCTCTTCTCTTCTCTTCTCTTCTCTTCTCTTCTCTTCTCTTCTCTTCTCTTCTCTTCTCTTCTCTTCTCTTCTCTTCTCTTCTCTTCTAATCAAATAATATCTGTGTGCTTGTTGCAGATGGAGAATCGTCTGTGTCTTTGCTGTGACCCCAAGCAGACATGCTCTCTAACAGAAGATGAGACACTAGTGCTCTACCAACATACAGACTGCCACTCTGTGCGTCACCAGCTCAAGGTGGGGTCCCTTAACTCTTATAGGGTGTTTGGGATGGTCCCAGCCCCCCAAAACAAACACTCAGGTGTCTGAATAAATTTGAGAGTTCACCCAAAAATTAAAATGCTGTCATCATTTACTCACCCTCAAGTTGTCAATGGGGACCAGAAACTGTACAACTGAACTACTTGACAGTGAGTAAATGATAGTAGAATTTACAATTTTTGGGTGAACTATCCCTTTAAGATACATTTTGGTAAATCAGTTTTAACGTGCGTTTCAATTGCGTCTCTTGTGATCACCTGTGTACAGAGATCCTTTTTTTAACGTAACATCCTACATCACGGGAGTACCAAGTTTGTGTAAATCTCACTGTTCGTAGGCCACAGTGTATGACACTCAAGCCGGTGAGCTGTCTGGAGAGAGAGGAACATCCACAGCATTCAGTGGTGAAGGTGAGTCTTGCCTCTCTTCTGTTCATCCTTTAGCAAACAGGCCCTGTTTCCAGCTGGTATTAAAGGCAAAGTTCACCCAAAAATTAAAATGCTGTCATCATTTACTCACCCTCAAGTTGTCAATGGGGACCAGAAACTGTACAACTGAACTACTTGACAGTGAGTAAATGATAGTAGAATTTACAATTTTTTGGTGAACTATCCCTTTAAGATACATTTTGGTAAATCAGTTTTAACGTGCGTTTCAATTTGCGTCTCTTGTGATCACCTATGTACAGAGATCCTTTTTTTAACGTAACATCCTACATCACGGGAGTACCAAGTTTGTATGAACACTATTAAATTACCAAACTATGTATACATGTGTACATTTTGTATATCCTCTCTCTCAGTGTCAATGGACAGTGGCTCTCTGTTGATGTCTGAGATTGTGGATATTCCAGATGACAGCTCCCCATCTGAGGACTCCTGCCTCATGGAAGTGGGTGTTGGTGTGCGTGCACGGCCACGGGGGGGCAGCGAGGGAGGGGAGGGGGGAGAGTACGCCAGCCTCCGTTCTTTCACACAACATCCTGAGGGAATGGTAGCTCCTTCCGGAAGACGTTGTTTCAGAGGCGAGAGATCGAACTCCTGCTCCTCTCCGAGCACGTACCACACCTCTACCTACAGGTGGGAAAAAGTTGAGTCTTTAAACCTTTGTCATGTACAATTACACAAGTGCGATTAGAACATTTAGTGCATCATGTGATCTCCTGCTAAATTCAGTTCTGCTTTCATGCTTTGGCAATATTTTCTTGTAAAACATACTCCAATAATCTTATTAAACAAGTCTTTAGAGTGTAGGGGGAAAAAAGTCTATGCCGGGAGCTCAGCTAGAGCGTTATAAATCGTTGTTTAAAAGAATTGATAAAATAGTTAAATAATTAAGTTAAATTTTAGCTGTAAAGTTCCTTCATAATTTCCTCCACAGGTCTCCAGTGTTGAGGCGTCAAGCTCTGTTGGCAAGTAGCTGCTCTCAGTTGGAGTTCCTAGCAGGATCTCAGCATTCCTCCATCCCAGAAATCCGAGTTCGGCCCTGCACACCTTCCCGACGGGACTCCTCATCTGAATTTAGTAACCCACCTACCACAGCCCCAACAGGTCCTGCTCAAGACCGGCCGGACCATACAGTACTTCCGCGGCCAGGTTTACATGAGCAAATTGGACGTGATAGAAAAGACAGCAACAGCTTCTTACCTCTCATGAGGTCACACAGTGAACCAGGACTCAGCTCTTCAACTGACACAGGTATGAACATGCATATGTAACAGATTACAGTTGTCTGGGATTTATGTGAAAACATGAATTTGTGTTTGCCTCTGTGTTACTCTGTTTTCTTTGAAGCACTTCACAGAATGACGATAACGTGTTTGTGCTCTTCTCTTCTCAGGTGATTTCAGTCTCTCAGGAGGCAATAAAGGAGTCCGTGAGGGGGGATCGCAGACCTCATCAGAAACAGGTAAGAGATGTTTCTATATAGGATTATTATGTTTCAGAGTAGCACAGTGTTATTTTAGTTTTTTTTTTTTAGTTTTTTTTTTTACATTTTTAGTTTTTATTTATATTTTACTTTTACATTTTCAGTTGTTATTTTACATGTAATTAAAATTTTAGGAATGTTGATATGGACTGTAATTTTGGTCATTGTCATTTTTATTTTGTTTGACTTTTATTTCAGTTTTAGTTTTAATTCAGTTTTAGGTTTTATTTTATTTATTGCTTCATCTTAAACTTATTTCATTTAGTAGAATTGTCATTTAGTTTTAGTTTATATACAGCTTTATTTTACTTTTAACTTTTTTAGTAACCACGGTAACACATGATAAATGTACATTTTAATATTGTGAGAAATCACATCAAGTTCATTTGAAGTTCCAGAACTCATCACTTGCTCTCTGTTTACAAAAAAAAAAAGTTGTTTATTCTAATATGTTCTTGGAAGCTCAGATCTGTTTACTTTTTTTAATGCATGACCACCCACATTTATATGTCAGAAACCGCTATTGTTGTTTAGTAACGTGACCCATTCAATCACAGTGAGGTAGTAAGGAGGAAGTTGGACAGAAAAGCTATCATACCTAAACATGAGAACAGTGATAAGAATAAAATATGGTCAAGTATGTCAGACTTTTTGGTTGGAAGAAACCAAACTTACAAACAACCATCTGTTTTAGTTTTAATTTAAACAATTTAAAATGAACAATTAATTGCAAAGGTAAAACTAATAAAAATTACAAAATCACATAACAACATAACTCAAACTTGAACTAAAATAAAAAAAAATGGAAAATATAAAAGCTAATTTGAAACAAATCATTAATAAATACTATAATAACATAAATAATAATAAAATCATTATTTTATACATTTATTTTTTGAATAATCTGTTTCCCTGCTCACTATATTTGAATAATTTGGTTTGTTTGTATCTCCTTTGTGGCGTAGGGGTATTGTCTGGAGCTGGTTTGCTGCCTCGCTCCTCTCTGGCACTTCCTGCTTCCCTGCCCAGAAAAGACAGCATTAAGGCTATAAGTAGCCGGTTGCCCTCAAAACAAGTCCCAGCCACCTCGATGCGTTTACCCAAAGACTGTGCACGCTCACTTGGAGACCTCAAGGTTAGTCTTTTTGATGCCTAGGACCCCAAAATATGTCAATCCCCCTTTTCTACCCAATATTAATAATGTTAAATGTATAAACAAACATTTTCCATTTAAATTCAGGTCACCAAAGTTTTAGTGCAACGTTTCCTGCAGAGATCCAAACGTAACTTAGCCCCTGCAACTGAGCATACCGGAAACTGTACTCAGGGGCCTAAAAGGAGGACAGCAGGTGATGGAAGTCTGCCATTAGAACAGGTAAAAACATTGCCAATACCATAAATGAAATCATTTAGTTCAGCTAGAATTCTGTGTAGGTCAATTTAGTACAAAATAACCCATAACATGTTTCTATGAAGGTACTTCGTAACTCTCTGGGGGCCAACAGGGGGCAGCAGCAGCAGCACGTCCACCACTACTGCCGTGGACACCATCACTCCTATAGTGACAGTCGCCATAATGCCCGCCGCCATGATGACGACCCTGTAAGGGCCGGGGGAATCCACTTGCGTAGCTGCGGAGATCTCAGCTCAACATCCGTCGCATCACTGCGCAGAATCCACCCACCGTCACAAGAATCATCAGGAGCTCTTTACTCAGAATCTGCCCTCTGAAATGGGGCGAGGGACTCTGGAATAAATCACAGCTGGATTCAGGAGAGGGGGCAGAGAAAATCTGAGAAAAGAATAACAGGTTTGAGATGAGGAATTTATCCTGCTGAAGGGATGATGTGAAGCATGCTGTTTGAAAAACAGTATATGTACCTTCGGTGAAGATTTTAGCTGTTCTTACCATAATAAGACCGAACACTACACCCGATATAACAGAGCTTAACCCATCAGACCCTCTGCTTTCTGTGCCTGACAAACTCCGGTCTTTCTGTTTTGTATTTCCATGTATTTTTTGCTCCATCTAGTGCTTTTTTCTCGCTCACTGTTTACATGGATGTGGAAAGAATGCAGCACCTCTGACACTGTTCCTGGTCTTCACAGCTCATTACAATGCACTCATGCAACTACAAACATACAACCCTATGTTTGGCTGTAACTATGTTGTGAACTTGGGGGAATTGAAAGGAATAATTAAAGGAATAAATTAAAGGATTTAAATGGATTTAAGGGAATACGCAAAAAAAAAAGAACAGTAAAAGAAGCAGGATAAAAGTATTTGAAAAGTATCAATTCAATTTGACTTATTTGCAAATAGTATGTTAATTTAAAATAGGTACACATTAATTTTCTTTGTATGCCTAATATGTCGAAAATGTAAAATGGTTTCATATCTTGTCACATTCAATTATGCATTACTTGAATCACACAAATGATTCAGCCTAAATTTTCAATTCAAAACGGCGAAATTTAACAAAATAATTTAAGTAGTTTGCATATCACTGTCAGACATTTAGCATTTTTGTCTTAAAACAGTTGTCAGATAGTAAATGGTTAACTACTTACATCTTACCTCGCATTCTTTCACTGTCAAAGACTGAAGCATTACGCTGGAATTCATGTTCGGTCTCTGTGAACAGTAAAACCTGCCTTCTTGGTTTTGAAATGTCATCTCAATCATTTTGAGACTGATGAGAGCTGTTAGACCGTTGAGGCAGACCAGCCTAAATTGTAATGTTTTAAAATGTTTTGTCATCCTAACAACAAACAGAGCAACATAAAGAATATCAAATATTGGGAGGGACAATTTGGCCATTTCAAAATATTGGATTGTGGGTGTCTATGATGGTTACGGCCCTGCAAATATACACATGCAATAAAATGCATGACCACACACACTCAAATGTGGTGTTAACTCTTTTGTAACGAGCCACTGAACGCTTTTCACTAAATACTTTTCACTAATTGACCATCTCGCAAAGTGTAGCTAATTAATTCAAACATCATCTGAGCAGCTGCAACAGCTGAGGTTGATGCAGCAATTGATTCATTGTCTTTTTTTGGTAGAAGTGCATGGTTTTTCTAAAACAACTAAGATAATTCAATTGGAGCTTTGATCTTTTGCATCTGTCTGTCTCTCATGGCAGACTCTAGCTTCCCAGCCTGTGTAATACTTTCCTAGAATGCCTCTGCATGTATAGAGCAGGCTTGTTTTCTCTTTTTGATTGAACACCAAATGCACTAACACACACAGATACACAAACATGCTTGTGACAAAACTAGATGCCACTAATGCAAAGAAATGTTTGAGGGATTTTGGATTTTATAATACAGAAGATTCTCTGGCAATAAGCATACTGTAGATATCGAACTATTACAGGAAATTGGGACCTTGTATTGAGTGATACCTATGAAAACTGAACGCTCACTAGAAGTGAGACGATGAACCAAGTCAAACTGATATGTTCAAGGATTTTACAATGTTCTGGACAGTTTGGGAATAATACTTTGGAAAGACAGCCATGGACGTCTGGTGTATCTGCTTTGTTGTATTCGGAAATGGAATAATTGCAGTTGTCAATTGTTTAGAAGTGCTTTGGAATGCTAGCTAATGGCTTTGAATCAGTAGCAATGTTGCTAAATAATGCATTAATACAATTGCTCTATATGTAAATAATTTTGATGCACGGACCCTCACGCTCTTTGAAGCACCGAAACCAAGTCTGAAAAAGAGCTTGATATTCTACCTCTTGTATTGCATACACTGACATGTTACGGCCCAGTGGAATATTTTAATTAATTTAAGGATTTTATGGACTATTTATGAAACAACTTCTACACTGACTGATGAAAACACTGTTATTCTGGGAATATGCTGCCTAAAAAGAACATTTAAAACAGCTCTACTTCATGAACTTTTAATGCAAGTTATGTAAAATCACAACAATAAATGTATACACATCAAATTGATCAAATCATCTATATCAATTTCATGTTTTCAGGTGTTAGCTCCACTTTTTCAACACTGAAAAATATACATTTAGATTTTTTTCATTGGTAAGAAATAGTGTCTGATTTGTGAATAAATTGCTCTTCAGAGTCATGTCTTTTAAATGAATCGGTTGAACTGGTTCACCCCTGCTGAAGCTAGAGCTCAATGCGGCGGAACCAGGGCTTCTCTAGGCAGAAAGAAATTCACACAGAAATTTGATTTAATTAAATTGCTATTACCTTTTAATTTACCCTGTGCTGAACAAAATGTTCACAAACCACTGTTTAAAAGTGATTAAACGTGTAATGAAATGTAATGTGTGCCAGTGTGCAATAAGAATGACGTAATTACGGCAGGACGCTAAGAACCTGTTCTTTGAAACGAACGACTCGAAAGAACCGATTCGCTGAAATGAGTTGAGAGTTGAACCTCCCATTTAATGCATGTAGTACTTTTATTTTGAAACTGAAGTTTCTTACGTCGCACATGAAGATGTAAATGTTGCGCGCCAGGTCGTACAGTTAAGCCACAGCCACATTATATCATTCGATAAGTATTGATTCGATAGAAAGCGACACGTATTGGAATGTGGAAACTGCAACCGACCGAGTCTGGAGGTAATGTTTCCTGTGCAAAATGAGTCGGTTATTGATTGTTTTAGTGTACTGCGGCAGTACGTGACCCAGACCAACTGCAAACCAGCTGCAAAGTAATAACAATGCTCATGTAATGTATTCCTATTTACATAACGCGTTTCTGTTTAGGGAATGACTTCTAATGCCTTTTATACGGCTTTAACTGAGTCACAAGACGTTCATTTCTTTATTTAAACACTGTTTTATACTGTAATTGTTGTCATACATGGAGAGGCTGTGTCATGACATTCAGCATGCTAACATCAGATTTGACTTGGTAAGTTGTTGAGTGTTTGTTTTGTTCCTGGTCACGATTCTAACTTGAGTTGAAATTACTCCTTTTTTTTAGTAAGACCCAGTAGAAATGTTAAATGCATTTTAATCTATTTTATAATGCGAATCAACCAGAATTACTATTCAAAACTGGGCTCTTGGTTTCACCCTTGTCACAAATGACATTTTACATTCATTGTGATCATGATTTACTATAAAAGACAGATAACGTTAGTCCACACAAAATGTTTTAAACTCGTCATTTACATAATTTAAACCAATTTAAAAAAAACTTAATTTAATTCATAATAATTTAGTTTGGGAATAATACTTTGGAAAGTCTGGTGTATCTGCTTTGTTGTATTCGGAAATGGAATAATTGCAGTTGTCAATTGTTTAGAAGTGCTTTGGAATGCTAGCTAATGGCTTTGAATCAGTAGCAATGTTGCTAAATAATGCATTAATACAATTGCTCTATATGTAAATAATTTTGATGCACGGACCCTCACGCTCACACACATTCTGCAACTTTGAAGCACCGAAACCAAGTCTGAAAAAGAGCTTGATATTCTACCTTTTTGTATTGCATACACTGACATGTTACGACCCAGTGGAATATTTTAACTAATTGAAGGATTTTATGGGAAAAAAAAAATCTCAAACTCATAATTTTCCTACCCTCATGTCGTTATTGCTTTCTTTCTGCTGTGGAACACAAAAGAAGATATTTTGAAGAATGTTGGTAACCACGCCGTTTTGGTTCCCATTGACTTCCATATATTTTTGAACCATTCAATGGAAGTCAGTGGGAACTGGAGCTGCTTGGTTACCAACATTCTTCAAAATATCTTCTTTTGTATTCCAGAGCCTGTTTTACATGCTTCATTTTTATGGAGCTTTGATGCAGACATCATCTTTCTGAGAGGTGTAAAGACATTCACGTGAAATCAAGATTGTTTTTTAATCATATTTATAGGCAGATTTTGTCATATAATAGTAGAAGACTCATAAAGAAATCCCCCAAATTTCCAGTAATTAGTATCTGTATATGTTGGGATGCTTTAATTCATTCCATGCCTTTTTGTTTCTGAAGGGGAAAGTATCGTTCTGCTGCCGGGTCAGGAGTATGTGGTCGGCCGTAAGAACTGTGAGATCTTGCTGTCCAATGATCAGTCCATCAGCCGTGTGCATGCCAACCTCACCGTCACTGAGCAGGTGAGTAACTCTCCTTGTGAGCATCTCCATATTATGTTGCCTAAGAAACAAAAGCCATCTTCCATGAAGAGGTGTTTGGTGTCCCACTATGATTGCTAACAATCTAATCTTATCTAACAAACCTCAATGATAGCTTCTAAGATAGGAGAATGCATTAACAGCACTTTTTGTTAACATGCCTTTGACTTTTGTGTTGTTAACAGAAGTCATCTTGGCTGTTTTTCCTTGGCTCTCTTAGAGCCTGTACATAAATATCTTATGTTGCTTAATAAGACTGTGTCAAAGGCAGTCCTGTGGGAGGTATTTCACAAAGTAATCACATTTTAATTTACTAATTGTTTTTTATTATTTTGCTGATTACTTAGCAGAACTGTGAATCATGTGCGTCATTATTTCCCTTAGTCACTTTTACTTTGAATACAGTAAGTCATTCTTGCTGTGAAATACTTATTTAAATTCAGGATGCAAAAAATTATATTTGTATATTACTAATAACGTCTTGGAAAGTTTTGAAAAAAAAAAAAAGTCATAACTGAGAATATTGAACATTTTATTAGGAATCTTTTAGAAACTTGTTCAATGTACAATTATATTAAAATAGCCAAAATAGGACAAACGTTCACGTGTCCATGTTACTCATTTTAGTGCTTTGAAAGATCATTTGTCATCTTTTAAATAATTGAGGGGGTCTTGTGCTGTAGGAAACCAGTTAAAACTAGGCATGTGACATTATCACATTTTTATATCACTATAATTGCTGAAGCTTTTATCAAATTAATTTACATTATAGGCTGAAAAGATGAGCAAACTTCAGTGCTGTCCTCCTAATAACAAGTTTATTAACTGTTTTCCAAATGACAAAAATAACCTTTAATATTTAAAAACAATAAAACGGTACACAATAAAAATGTAAAAAAAGTAAACAAAGGTTCCAGACTGATTAAAGTGTAAACGAGCACAACTGTGAGAAATGATAATAAAGAATGAGAACATTTTCAGCAAATAACTAGATACCTTTTCAGGGTTGCTTTTTTTATTCCATATTAAAATGTAAAAACATATATAATTAATGTAAATACACAGTAAGTATTTAACTGTTTGCTGTTAGAAAAACACCATAGCG